TGTTAAAATAGCTCGATCATAATTTATCCTCAATATTTTCCACCCCACACATCAGCAGGGTGCTTGGCTCACAGTTTGGAGGTTCGGAGTTCAAATGCAGGTCAGGCGTCGACTCAGCCTTTCATCTCTCTGCAGGGTAGATAAAATCAGTATCAATTTTTGGGGAAGTGAGAAGTGGTTGTCCTAAGGAAGTCTCACCCCCCACTAAAGGAATGAAGACTTTATACCACAGGCTCTAAGAGTGTTAAAGGGATGAGCACCATCCCGTGCTCCATTAATGAAGACACCATCTTGTACTATGCTCTGGGTATTTATGACACTTTTAAAATGTATTCCCAAACTGAATTTGGGGATATTTTGAAAGTTAATCATATACTCGTTCACTAAAATATATATCTCATGAATGTAATAATTTACAGCCCTTTGCCAATCTACTTCTAGATATGGCCCTCTTCATGCCTAAATTTCACCGAACACATTTATTTACCTTTTGAATATTTTTTTGAGATTACTGATAGACTGACGATGGAACGTCACTCACAGAAATCGCCCCAGGGATAGCTTTTACTGGATGTTGGGTGCTGGTTGCGGGTATATTGTTGGGGTCAATACTCCAGACAGAAGTGGTTGAAATTAATCCCCGGTTATACTCAGTAACATGTAACGCATGGCATTAACTTAAACATTGTTGGTGAAGAAGAACACGTTGAAATATTACCATTTAAGATGACCGTTAATCCTTAATGAAATATAATCATTGAGTATCAAGATATATTTTTGGGTGGAACCTGCATTCAATAGTTTTGGCCAATACCTTGTTGAGCTTTTCAAATGGCAGGTAGGGCCAATTTAATTCCGGGAAATGTGTAAAGTTGGCGATTGTTCTTGCATAATGCATTCAAACGATGGATGATGTGATTCATGTCCTGTACATGAACGTCCTATTGCCGGGATACTCGCACGTTTGTTTAATTATTTATCCGTGCGTTTATTTTCCCTGGGAAAGTTTACAGAGCACCCATATCCCCCAGGCATTAGGGTAGAGTCGGCTCACTTTGCTTAAAAGGTTATCAGGGTTTTTCGGCAGTAGGTTTGTGGGTGGGGGTTAGGCTAGGAGCTGTTCCCAATAATTAACAATTTGACCTTCTCTCCAGAGACAATGGCAGAGGAAGTCACTTTATCTCAAGGGCCGCTTTATGGCTCTCCTTTTCACATGCCAGGATTCTCGCATTTTTGTGGTTTAGACATTTATTTATTTCCATATTACAACTCATTAAAATAAACTGGCGGTGCGGTTGTATGAGAGGAATAAAAAATACATCTGTGGACACATTCACAAACGTTTATTTTAGCTCCGAAACAAACGGTAGAAGTATATTTGACGCGGATGATTTTTTTTCTTCCGACGATGAATATGGTTTGTGTGAATTGTTGAAGCATGCGGTTTATGGTTATGGTTCGCGTTTAAAAATATATATTTAAAAAAAGACGAAATGTATTCGTTTCCAAGACGTGACGTAGGCTCAAAGTGTTCGCTATGAAGGTTGATAATACAGCACGTTACCTTCTGTGTTCCTTTGGTGAAACCATTATCCTTGGGGCACTGTGTTAAGCGTCCACTGAATTTGATCAATTTGTCAAAGCGTGTGCTCTTCCATGCTCTAACAAGTCCTGTCATAATAATAATAAGCGGAGCCCCGACACGTTGCCTAAGGCATGCGGTGACACTGATGTCGTCTCGCTTAAGCAAGGGAGAGGCATTGAAAACGTAATTTCTGCGGACAATTTTATTGTTTACGGTGCCACATTTAAAACGAAAACATATTTCAGTCTTTTTGGGCTGTAAATATATATTTTAGTTATTAAAATCGAGTGAATTGTATGTAAATTTGTTGTGTTGGCTTGCTTGATTGCTCCTATGTACGACATCGTCCTATTCAAAATGTAACATAATAATAAAAAGTTACAGCCCTTTTACAGGTAGGCTTTTGAGATCAGTGTTATGATTCAAAATTGACTTTGGGGTCATATATTGACTGATCCATCCCAAAAATCAATTAGGAGCCCCCTATTCAATTCCCTGCTGAATGAAGGTCTCCCCATGCCCTTCAGCTCTAGGGGCCGTTTAACCATATTTCACCGCACTTGCTAGGAGTACCTTTGTGAATGCAGCACTCTGGGACCAGCTCAGGTATTGCCCACCGCTGATGTTAGATAAGGCTGGCATTCAAACTCAGTTCGCCAGGTTCTAGTGGCACTACGGTACCACCGTCTTCATTAAGTGGGTTATCGTCAATTATTTTGGGTCATTCTGTCAAACCAGGAGCATTAAAAACATTTTTATTCGGGGGGGGGGGTTATTTTCGTGCGCTTGAGGGAGCGGCGTGCGCCGGATGAGGACGAGTTGCACCTTGGGCCGGCGCGCTGCCGGATCTCTCTGCAAATGTGAACCACGTGGCCGCCGTACAACGCATTGCACGACGCCGGTGCCCGCTGCAACGCACTGCAGGAACAACAGAGGCAACGCCCCTGGCCTTTTCCCACAAAACACTCTCAGTCTCCGCGTTCGGTTTAGAGAAGTGGGGTGGGGGAAGGGGTCGGGATTACAGGTAATAGATCCAAGTAAAGGTGAGAAGCCCTGCAAAGGGGCACGTGATGGGTGTTTTTTGCTTTAATGCCCCCCCCCCTTCCTGAGAGCTGTTTATAATTGGGGCAGATGGCAGACATGACGTTAAAGGCGCAGCCCTGCAATTGCTTGCTCGTGCCACTGCTGGCAGAAGGGCCACCACGAGAGGCATCTCTACATGTCCCCTGTAGAGGGGTTCAATGTTTGGCCTACTCTTTCAGGCGGGGTTGGTGGGGGGATTTTAAGAAACTTGCAGCATTGTTTCAACTGCCACGCCGAGAGATCGGATCGAGCCGGCGACATGACCCTCCGATTAGCGTGGTTGCATACGTAAGGTGCGAAAGAAGTTGAAAATAAATACACATACGAGGCGCAGTGTGCTGCGAACCGATACGGCAGCAAAGAGCCAGGACCCACCCGGTGTTGTGAATGAGACTGCTGCACTGGCACCAGGCAGAGTGACACGTGGCTGCAGTGCGACAATTGGCGATGTTTATCTGCTGCGCGAGGCTGACCCCAGGCAGTCGCCTTATTTTCGTGGGGGAATGATACCGGCAATCCTGGAAAGAAAAGACGTCTTTGTGGACCTCAATTTGTGCAAAAAACAGCAAATGTGAGCTCAGGCTTGTAAAAAAAAATTAGATCCCTTTTTGTACTCTCCCCGCTCTTTGTCTCTCTTGCTCTGTCCACACTGTGGCTTTGAAGTAGGAAAGGGTTGTTAAAGTAGAAAGCACTTAAGGCTGTGTTCATCTAAGACTCAATGGTGCTGGTAATGGCACCCTCAGGCCACGGTCGGAGCTGCACGTACGCGGCAGTACATAAACAAGGTTGCAGTAATGCACAAACACGCGCACTGTGGCGGTGACTTACCGCTGGTGCGCTTTCAGGATCAGAATGAGCGTCTCTATTTAGACTGCAGGAGGAATCCGATGAGCAAATTATGCAGCTCTCTTTCCCACAGATGTCCAGTATGGGTGGGTCAGGCGAGTTACAACAGCAAACGGTACAAACAAAACACGATAGGAGTGCAAAGTAGGTAAGCAAGTCACAAAATATAAATGACTTAGATACGTTAATTATACAAACTTTTAGTTTGTCCACCTCGTTGGTGTGTTCGCATGGCCAGGTTGCGTTTTGGTGATCACGTGACCAGCACCACACGTGACGAGCACCACACCACACGAATGCACAGACATTTGGCTCTCGGGGAATGTTGAGAATGACATTCCGATAAAGCTTCCACTGACCCATTCAGCCCCGATCTCCGTGTCCGCGTCGCACGATGTCACAAGAAAGCATTCCGACAGCGATTTACATTGTTACGAATGCATCTGAGTTTCTACACGTGATTTTTTTTTTAATCAGCATTGGTAATAAATGTTTCATGGCACTGGATGTAAGCATCGGTCTTCGTAGCACCTTTAACGTGCAGCACGTGACAGAGCCATGTACGGCATCGTTCTAAGATTATTACTGTATGTCAAGGTTGAGTATGTCATAAAAAGCAAAAATGTGAATGAGTACAATTTATCTTCTTTGGTTCTTTCGGTAAAGTCACGTAGAATGAGAATAAAATAATAAATTGATAAAATAAAATAACACAATAATATTCTCACGACGTTTCGGCCACAACACAAGCGGCCTTCATCAGGTGAAGGGGGCGAGACTGTCTGGTAGGACTGTCCTTCATCAGGTGAAGGGGGCGAGACTGTCTGGTAGGACAGCACTGTCAGCACTGTCCTACCAGACAGTCTCGCCCCCTTCACCTGATGAAGGCCGCTTGTGTTGTGGCCGAAACGTCGTGAGAATATTATTGTGTTATTTTATTTTATCAATTTATTATTTTATTCTCATTCTACGTGACTTTACCGAAAGAACCAAAGAAGATGAATCATTGCAGTCACGAAAGCTTTAAATCGAGTACAATTTAATCGAAGTGTGGCTGTAAACGTGAATATAAAATGTGGTTAAACTCATCAGCTTATCGAGCGATTAATTCAGCTCTTGTACAGGCGTTTGGGGAATTGTCACCATCGCAGAACTATGAGAGTTAGTGGCGGCTTGGGAAGGCATTCATTCAGCAGTGGATTGATCATTGCTGATGACGACCTAATAATATTCTGCAAAAATTGTATGTAATATAAAATACAATTGGAGGGGGCCTATCGTCCCTCTCGGCTTGATGCAACCTCAATAGAGGTCATACTATTGAGAACCTACCACCTGCCATAGCAATGTGGAATTTACACCACCCAATCAGGGCCACTAAATCGAGACGCTTGGGCTTATCGCTCATTTGAGCGATGGAACGTCTCCGAATTTAATCGTGACCACAACAATTCACCGCGGGGCGTCCGTATCCTCCCCGCCGCAGCCCATCGATCAACGAACGCATCGCGGCCGTGGCCCGCTGGCGGCCCGTCGCTGGTTGGCGACCTGAAGAGGGCCCGGCGCGACCTGGACGGACGGGCGGCGGAACGCGAGGGCAGCGGCGACGATGCCGGCGCGGCGGGCGACCGGCCTCCGATGGCGGCCAACGGAACCGCTGGCGATCGGCGGAGTCGAGGGGGCGACCGGCACGGGCCGGGGGATGGCACCGGCAGGGCGCGACGCAAGCGATTCCTGTCGTACCCGCGGCACGTGGAGGTGATGGTGGTGGCCGACAGGAAGATGGTGCGCTACCACGGGGAGTCGCTGGAGCACTACGTCCTGACGCTGATGTCCATGGTAACTTCGCCCGGTCCGGTCGTCACGTGCGGCTACCGGAAAATGTGTCATCTCTTCAGCTGAGCTGGAAGCGAAGGTTTTGGTGGATCGCACATTTTGAGATTCCCAAACCCACTGAGCTGTGAGGTTACCGGGCGGTGGCAGTACAATAAGTCGAACGGTGGACCCATCTTTGCAGACCTTTGAGGGTTACCTCCCCTTTGAGTGTGGGTTTTCTCTGGGTACTCTGATTTATTTCCAAATGCAGATCGTTCGTTAAACATTCGTTTGACAAACAACCCAACGCACGATCCTCTTGATAAGAGCCTTGGAACTCATGGAGGCTCTCATAGATAAATGAATCACATTCATATTTTGTATCGAAAATAAGGACTGTCTTGGCAGGAAGTGGTGTGTAGGGACTTCACAGTGGTGAGAAGTGAACTCCTTTGCCTGGTATACAGGAGGTTCTATCTCGACCCTGATGCCTGTATATTTGGAGTTTGCATGTTGTCCCCGTGGTCATGTAGATTGTTTTCCGGGTCCTCTGGTTTTTCCCTTCACATTTAGAGTCACATTTGGCAACTCTAAAGTTCCACGTGATAAGCCACTTCATTGAGCTTTCATCTGTGGCCAAGTCGCTTATGAAAAACAGCTCAGTGGGACTAGGAAAAATTGTTTAGTTTTAGTTTGGTGTTTTAACATTTTAACACCTGTTTTATTGCCAGAAACGGTAAAACCTATTATTTTTTAGTTTATTGTAAGCATACCATCCATATTGTGGGGTTAATAATATATATAGAACGACGTATTAAAAATAGAGAATTTTACATACACTTTCTATGCCATTATAAGTGAGATTCACGATTCGAATCCAGTGGTTGCCCTGGTTAATACTGTGGTGTATTAACCGTCAAATCAGACACCGCCTGCATCATAGTGGACGTTCAAAATTCCGTGATGCCATTCACAAGAGAGTTGGCCATTGTGTGCTGGCGTTGTGGTCCATATTTGCAAATTAATAGCCATTGGTGGTAATTGCTCATTGTTATGGCAGGCTGACAACTCTCTGTATGGGTATCGTGGTCAACTTCCTGAACAAGTTTGTGTAAATTTTATTCAACCTCGGATGCATGATGCGCGGAGACCATCCTGACTGGGAGTTGAACTCGCAGCATTGGGAGCCATCTGCTCGAAGAATCAGAATCTTTACTCAGACTGGAAGAAACCGATTAGCTGAGCTTCAACCTATAATCCATTTATCATGCACACAGAAAATTAAATACCGATACATTAACTAACCATTACATGAGATGGCATAGATAAAGGTGCAGGTCTGCAAGTGTTTACTCGTGCTACTGCTGGCAAAAAAATTGGCCTTCACTGATGTGACCTCGGGAGAGTCCCTCTGGGAGGGTCTTGAAAGGAGTGGGAGTACCCACCCTGTCCCTCACCGCACATGACCTGATAATCGACGAACTATGGTTCATTGCTGGGGGGGATTTGAGACAGAGGCTGGAGGAGATTTGAGAAAGTCGCCCATCGTTTGAGCTGCCGCACTGGGAGATCGAACCGGCGACCTCCGGACCACGGGGTCGAGTGTGCCAACCGTTCACACCGGAGCAGCATCCACAAACCGTTATATGAAGCAAAGCAGTATAAGCCACGGATCACGTCGGTTAGTAAGAGGACAGTGAACTTCAAAGTGACTGAAAATGCTACAGAGGACAATTATTGCAAGCGGGTATCCTTTTCACAGTTTACTAAAGATAAGGGGGGAGATGAGATAGTTTGGGCGACACACAATCGCTCTGATTTCCCAGGAGCTTACCGCGATGCAGTCACGAAGAAGGCCCTGATGCGTTTCTGTCTGGAAACTAAAACAAAACAAACAAAAAAACACAGCTAGCGGGGATGCTCCGAAAATAACCACTGGCCTTGAACCGAGGGATTTGGAGTGCACTGGCCTTGCATTAGACTGCAAGGCCCCGTACTCAAATAGCGAGGCATCGTGGAGTTATTTCGAATGATGCTAAGCGGCAGCGAGCGCAAGCGGTGCGTGCGGCGCCCCACTCAGGATGGGGCCACGTCACGACGAGCAACGTGACGTGGCCCCACGGGGACCGGTGCCGCTCATTGCAACGCGCTGCTATCCTTGGCATTTACAGTCGTGATTTGAAACTTATTCCTCCTCTATTTGCGGTGCATGCGACGAGCCTCCCAGCTCAAGATGGGTTCAGGGTCGCCGATGGCCGCGAGCCAATCTTTATCGTTTTTACACTTTAATAAAAAGCCTGCGGCTCTCCGGGGTGATTTCAGGTCGGGCTGTGCATTATTCGGCGTGATTCCCGACGGATCACTGCATCTGCTGGGAGCTTCTTCGTGAACTTCGCACATCAGGAACGTCGTACATTAAGCACGTTGAGCTTTATCCGCACCATACGTAGCCAACCATAGTCAATCGGAGGTGGGGAGGAAGGACAACAAACTAAACACAAAAAGCAGTTGGAAAGAAATGCGTTTTCAATTTACATTCAGAAGTGCATAGCTCCGGTCTCGGAAGGAAGAGCGTTCTAGACAGCTACAGAAGCGCATCTGAAAGCGCGCAATGCAGTGCCCGTCTTTGTTTACGCCGAACAATACGCAGTACGACCCGAAGACGCATTGGAGAGGCGTACAGCACAAGCGCGATAATCTGCACAGCCTTCAATTGCCTTGTTGTTCCACTCTGATGGTCCCCACTGCGTACGTGGAGTGATCTTGCCAATAACACGTGGTAAGTTTAACACGTAGGCTTCCGCGACCAATATCATCCATAATACAGTTTTATTTGGTTAGATCGCATAAATATATAGATGTGTCGTTAAACCCACCACCACCCGACACAGCCAACTAGTAAGGGTTGTCACGTAAACAGAACGTGGCCAATTCGTCACTAGTACAGCACACCGGTGTGTTGGAGAGCCAAGCCACAACATTTACAATCTGAGTACGACGTTTCGACAATAATTACAATTAGCTTCATCAGACAACAGCCAGATTTGTGGAGAAATCCTCCTGTTTCATTCACACTTTTATATATTTACACGAGTTAACCCAAAAAACTTGTATTATGGAACATGCGGTAACACATGTCTTTAACTCGCCTGGCTTGCTAAAGAGACTCAGATAGTCAAAATCCGTGTGGGTGCTGAAACAAATGCTTCTGTAAAACGTTTGTCTAGAGGACAACAGACCGATGAACTCAAAAACTATATTTTTTATTGTAATACACTTTGCTTGAGCATGTTGTAAATTATATCTGTTGTTAGTTGTGCTTTACAATCTGCTTGGTTGGTGGAATCTTTCTAACTTACATATGACAATGATTTAAAATACTATCATTCATATATATTATACTACATGTTGTATACATATGGTCAGTTCCGTGGAATTACAGCGTTGGACATAACTTGTGTAACAATAATGTAACATAGAGTCATTTTGGTTTTGAGAACGTATCATAGTACTTACGTATCAGTTTGGTGCTGGACATTGAAGAGCCCATTTTGATTGCGCATTCATGCAACGCTTTTGTAATTTCATTACAATGGAATTCCCCAATAAAAAGAAACACGGAAATATATCGTGCAGCGCGGCAGTAACACAAAAAAATGGACAAGTTCCTTAAATCTACACGGTTTTGTCCATCCAAGAAGTTAAAATGTGTGCACCACAGTTAGTCAATCGGCAAGTCACATGTGCTGGGGTCAAGTGTGGGTACTCCCACCTCTTCTAAGAGTCTGGTAATGCAAATATGAATGTGGAACTTCTTTCGCTCTCTGTACGTAGCCAACCAGGCTAAGCGGAGATGCGGGGGAAGGACAAACTAAATACAAAAAGCAGTTCTAAAGAAATTAGTTTTTCAATCTAGTGTGGAATAATAGGCCAACTTCCCTTGAGAAAGGGCTTTTCAGAGTGCCTTCCAGTGGGCGCCGATCTGCCGGCAGTGGCGTGAGCAAAGGGTTGCAGGGCTGCATCTTTATCTTCTCCATTCTCTGATAACCATTTTTTGGCTTGAAGCAGTTTGGCAATGAGATGCTAGATGTAGCTTCAAACATGGGGGGGGTTATCACCATAGGATAGCATGAAAAACATCTCTGCTAAAAATGACACGTGATTGTTTCAAGGTGTGATGTAAAAAAAACATTTTAAAGCCAAAATAGCATCTTCTAACAAAATGCAGGCCATGAGACGTGATAAGGGCTGATATGTGCAAACGAGCCAGGACGTTTAGAATTGCCAAGTTATGTGTCCGTGCTTGGCAGATGACACGCGCATGCGCAGACCTTCACAGAGTATGTAAAACGTGCACGTTCATTTATCAAACTCAACGGTATGTTTTTTTTTGGCGGCGTTTGGCAGACAAGGCCACTCTCCAATTTCTGATGGACAAAAGATTTTTTTTTTTTTACAATTTCACACATTTCACTTCACATCAGTGGTCTTGTCAAATCACGGCCGTGATAATACTGCATTCGAGCACGCATGTGATTATGCAAACATTCGGTATGGTTAAATCGTATCTATTTAGCTAGAAATACACCTTAGGAAACAGATATTTCTGGTGAAACAGAAGTTATGGATATGGGTGTGCGTATTTGCGATTAATCATAATATATAACAAAAATGTACTGCCCTTTATTAGTCCACTGCTGGATGAAGGACTCCCCATGAATTGTCAGTAATTAGGGTTTGTTTGACCATACTTCACCACACTGGTCAGTACAGGGGGAGCCGTGGCACGGTGGCTCATCTCCTGTGGTATTTACCCGGCAGCCTCAATTCAATTCTCAGCAAACGGTCAACATCAGTGGCAAGTGACACCTGAACCGACCATCGGTTCTCTTGCTCTTCATCAGTCTACACTGGCCGGCACGGTCAAGTATGGTCAATCGACCACCACCCCTCCCCCCTTGACTGACAACATAGGGAGGCCTTCATCCATTTGGTCACACAAACCTTTTTTTTTAAACTTCACATTCTCAGTTTAGCTCTTACCTTTGTCCCCCAGTGAAACATTTCTGCGCAGCAACTATGGGTGCTTTGTACTTCTAAATTGATAAACCCATTTCTTTGCAGCTGCTTTTGTGTTTATTAATATACTATTGGGGCAAGTGCTGTTAGCGAGCACCTATGAAGGCCGGCACGGCACACGAAGGTGTGGGTGGTCAGCACCACGCCTTTGTCTCCCTAGTGGTCGATGTTTACACACCGCACCAGGTACTAATTTGCGGCTGAGTCGACCTAGGGGGAGGCCCAGGACCGGTTCAGATAATCATATCTATCTGGCGTTGGCCGTGAGCGGGAATTGAACTCAATACGCCCAGGTTGGTAGATGCAGCACAGCTCTAACCGCTGCACTGCTGCTGCCAACACTGCGATGTCCCGTGGAGTTTCCCGTAGGGATTGTCGTCGTCTCAGTTGTCAGCCTGTAACCTCCCACTGCTGGGCAAAGGTCTCCCACATTCTCCGTCCCATTCGCTCCTCCCCTTGGCTGCTCTTGTCCAGCAGTGAGCTCCGAACCCTTCCGAGTTTGTCTCGCCGTCTCTTCCGCTGTCCTCCCATGGTTTCCCTTCCCTTCGCTCGGTCTCCCTTCCCCTCGAGTGAATCCGTCGCTCAGTCTCTCGTCAGTTGTCCTCGCGACGCCTGCTCACCATTTCCAGTGGACCTCCTTTTCTCTAACAACAGCATCGGTGATCCCCGTTCTTTTCCTTATTTGTTAATTGCTGAACCTTTTACTTCGACTTACATTCTGACACACTCCTTTACGTATATATTGTAGTTTTTTTTTAAACCTGTTTATTAATTAACGACCATTCCTGCAATACACGAACGAAAACTAAAAAAAAAAATGTATATGCGGTATATTCCAAATATTTATTTTAGGGCACACTTCGCAAAATTTCGCAAAATTTCATTTTGCGAAGTGTCTCAACGACCAACGTCGTTTTCACGAGTTGAGGGTTGGGGGGGAGGGGGTGGGGTGGTTAATGAAATAAATCCGCAGCGTTACAGAACGGCCGCACGTCTCGAGTGGACGCGATTCCCCCAGAAGTTTTGGCACAGGCCCCTGCCCGCGCAGACGCGAGCCAAGCAATTCGCGAAAGAAGCTCTCTCCTTCCAAATCCCCCCGCTTCCCCGTAAGCTCGGAGGAACCGCCCCGCGACTGGGCTTGCCATGTGCTCCTTTTGAACGTCCTCAAGCCCCTTTAAAAAAAAAACAGCTCGCACGCCCACACATGTCCCACGTGTAACGCGATTAACTGTTGTGAATAAAATAATAATACTAACAGTACAAACGGAGTATGATATATTGGCGGCGATAACAAACAAAACATTTTACGAGAATGTGACAATAAAGATTGTTGTCCCGACCTGGCAGTGGACTGGGTTTTAAAGATAATGAAACCAAAAAGTAGCAACTCTTTAAAAAGTGGAGATGTACCCGGTTTAGTAAATAAAAGATATATAGCAATACGTTTGCAATATGCATGCTTCATTATCTCACACTGAAAATATCTTGCTTGACTTCCATATCATAGCTTTGACAAGTAAATATCTCAGAATAAGGTTTGGTGGCTAACATTTAATGACCTTCATTTTTTTGTGCAGCGAAAAACCGGAATGTTCCAAGTTCACATTCTGGTCAGGTGTTAACTCTTTCTCTTTAACCTTCAACCCTCTATAGAGTCCACAGAAAGTAAAAAGCCCTTGGTGGGAAGTCCAGCGTGGTTGTCTTGCAGCGCATCAGAATTTCACTTCATTACGAGTGGATGGTTTACGGAGCTCTGCAGTCCAAGCAGCATGGGTCTGCACTGCTTTTGGCGGAGCTGGATTTGCAGGTCGCCGCGCATGTGTGCACGCGTCCGTGCAAGCGAGTGCCAGGACGCGGTGTGATGCGAGGGAGGCCTGGATACGTTCGGCTTTTGGGACGGAAGTCGGAGTGGCGTGTGGGATGGCACCGTACGAAGGTGCTCCGAGCGTGATTAGGGCAAACAGTCCTGCCAAAACCACGGTGGCGCGTAGCGGTTCTTGGCAAACTGTCAACTGTGCAGCTCGGTGCTAAGCACGCTTACCAACCCGGCAGGTTGTTTAAAATGTATCTCTTGTCCGCTAGTGTTTCAGGCCATTGTGGTAGAGTGTGCCTTCTTTATAAGCTGAGAAGTTGATTTTTTTTCGCAACCTGTGACATGATCTGCGAGCGTAAGCAAATTGTGTGCATGTGTCCCTTGGCTTTTAATAGCAGTCCACTTGGTTGTGGATTTGGATGTTTGGGCGGTAATGTAAATTAGTGCTTGGCTTCATGTGGGAGAAAGCCCAGGAGGAAACTCGCAGATTAAACCCATGGATACAAGGGATGACTGAGCACTGCCATTCGCTACCTGGAAAGCCCTAATGGCCACCCGTTAACCATGCTCAAGGCTGCTTAGCTTTTGAGGTCTAATGAGATCGGGCCTATTTCTGATAATTTGATTGAAATTTTAATCCAATTAATCTCATAATCCTATCAGTGAAAAAAAACGTTACAATTCCCACAAATTAAAGATTCAAAAGTCAAAGTGGTACAAGAAATCAGAATCAGATGAGCACGACGCAGCAAAACATCTCCAGTTTACTGCCCTGAGCCAGTGCTGGAAACTCTACGTTCCTCTTCTGGACCAAGTCCATTCATGGAAAACCCACTGTGAAACTTTCCATGAAGGGATACTTAAAAGATAATACAAATAAAAATAACATGTGTCCAGTCCAAAACATGTTCTATTCAGTCTCTTGTTTTCTCATTAAATGTCCAAGATCTCTAACTTGCCTTTCTCTAATGATTCCTTTTTGACGTTCTCGTCGTGTACCCTGCTGTCCATGACACGTTTACGTCATGCGCTTTGTCTGCCTATGACATATTTTCTGTTGATCCCTAGTTTGCTTTGGTGGGGTCTTTGTATCACCATTGCCAATTGCATTCCTTGCAAAAATGGAGACAGGGAAGGGAATGAGGGGGTGGCTTTTGACCAGAGTTGTGGGTGGGCAGTTATTGTGCTGCATTGACGATGGAGAGGGGAGGGGAGCAAAGGGGGGGACTCGCTCTGGTAGTGAACGTGGGTGAGGGTGTGTGGCATGGAGGTGGGGGGAGGTGGTTCAGGGAAATGGCACGACACGGAGAGTTGTGTATGAATACTGTAAACCTAATTATAGCCCCTAATGCCCACCCAACAAGCGGCTGCATTGTGCGCGTGTCGCTGCGCCGTATGAGGTTTCACTCGCGCGCACAAAGCGCCTTTCCGAAAAAGTGGGTGGCCAAGGCAGGGCCAGATACAATTGCTAAATCACAAGTGATGCAACGTGCCGCGCCAATGTGTGCAGACGCGTTCGTATTTATCGCTTTCTGCAGAATGTTATACGGGGAAGCTTTTATCGTCTTCTTCTTAAAATGGTTGTTTCCAAACGCCCAGTGAGAATAAAAGAAATGTATACCGATGATAATTTGCGGACGTTGTATCGATCCACTGTCGGACGAAGGCTGCGTAAGCCATGCCGGGTTATTTACGGGAGGCTGTTTGACTATACTTCGCCAACGCTGGCTCAGATATCACTCTGCATGGATGTTAGACACAGGTGTCCAGGTTCGAAGCACAAATCACTAACCACTGGGCCACCACTCCACCGAGAAGACACTTAATTTATTATAGTCATTAAATGCAAACTTTAAAAGTATTTGGCTGTTAGATATTTCCACGTGATTAGCCATTTCGTTGGGCTATCATTTGTGGCCAGCTCACTTCTGAAAAAGAGATATAGCGCTCAGTGGGCCTTACCTGGTTAAATAGAAGAAATAGTGTATAGTTAACTATGTATTGACAAACGGTTGTTGGTGTGGAAATATGTTTTTGACTTCACAGGTGTTTGGCTAATCCGTATGATATGAAATCTTACATTTTTTCGGGCATATAATGAATAGTCATTATATTTTGTTGGGAATAATCCAGAGTTCACGAGTTCGATTTCGCAGGTGGGGTAAAATGTGGGTGCCCCTATATCTTCTGATATATCCTGGCCAGCGTGAAAGATTTAGGCCAAAATACCATCCAGAGGGGTTTACCCAGAACTCACTCTGGTGGAGGCCCTTTCCTGCAATCAGTGGCAAAGAGCAAGACATTAAAGCGCTGCACCTTTATAAATTTTGACACTCTAGCTTGGGACAAAGATAGCGGCATGCATATTCGTACGTTTGCAGGGAAACGAGTTACGCCCTGCGATTGCTTTGCTTTGTGTTTTTTTTTTTGCGAAGGTGGCTGCCATCTTCAAAGACTCAAGCATCGGTAATCAAATCAACATCGTCCTCGTGAAATTGGTCATCGTTCAAGACGACAAGGTCAGTGGCGGTGGCCATCGTGCCGCCGTGTTCACATTGAGCCGGGCCCTCGGCGTCACGGCTCGTCGTGGTGGTTGCCAAGTCTCTGCTGGTTGGCCCTACTTAACGCGATGGTGTCTTTTTTTTAATTAACGGAGGCGATTTTCAAGCCCACGTGTAGGGACCCCGGCCAGAGAAAACAGAAGGAAGGCCCTTACGTTAGATGAAGTCACCGAATGTTCTGTTGTTGTAAGTGATCATGACGTATAATTACGCTGGAGTTGTATAAATAAACTGAAATGAAATGATAAATGTTTGAGTTGTTAAATTGTGTTTTTTTTTATTCGAGGCAGTAAATTAGTATATAATGGGCGAATGGGATCACTCATCTTGTACTTCAGCACAGTAATCCTACATTTGTATGAAATCACATTCAAGTGCGAGGTAATTATCATCCTAAGATTATAAAGACTAACATGTTGATAAATAATTTTAGAGAGTTACATTCTCAAGTCATTTTCACTTTTGTTTGAAAAAAATATGCAGTATTTTTTAAGAATCTTGCCTTTATTCACAATTTTGTCATCAAATATTTCCGTTGCATATAGATAATTAAATTATTTTAAAAACCTATTCCTTGACTTTTGTAGATTGTAACAGCCAATATGCGTAATGATACACAAAAAATGTGATGTATGTACAGCTGAAGGTAATCAAATTTGGACTTAAGGACCAGTCTTCCCAGAATGCTTTTGCATATCACGTGAAATCACCACACTGTACTCTCCTGCCTGACCAGTTCCTTATGTTTTACAGAAAGTATTGAATTTATTTATATTTAAGCCGTTTGCATTGGTATACGAGTCAGAGTCTGGTCTGAAATCATTTCTGGGATTAAATGGCTGTTTGTGGTCCCGTCAATACTTGCGTCTCATTACAGGATGGCCCATCGATCTCCTTCAATGCCGAGACGACGCTCCGCAACTTCTGCTTGTGGCAGCAAGGCCGGAACTTACTGGACGACAGCCACCCTCTCCACCACGACACGGCCATCCTGATAACCCGGTAACCCACAGCCGCCCACGTCACCGAGGTGGGGGGGATGCCACGGGGGTTCGTCAAAGATTACGGACGTGCACATTGGATCAGCGTTCTTCATCGCAGGCCACTGGAAGCCCCTGGTGGCTTTTAGTGTGGTCCCTGATGTGCGGCCTCCCGACCGTACACAAATCTGAAAACACCCCCCATCATGGTGCTGCTGTCAAACCCAATGGTTTCAAATGTGTGGCGGCCCTCACACTGATGTCTTATTGGCCAAAGTGGCACCCCCCCCCCCCCCCCTCTGAAACGTTGAGAAGAACACTACATTAGACATTTTGATTTAAAACTTTCATGACTGCAGTGATTCATATTCTTGGTTCTTTCGGTAAAGTCACGTTGAAGGGAAAGAACCAAGAATACTACATTAGACATTTTAGTATTAAGAAGCCACTGGAGCTGTGCACTTTGAAATCTTAATTGAAAATCGTTTCTTTAGAACTGCATTTAGAATTTCGTTTGTTGTCCTTCCCCCTCACCTCCGATTAGCACGGTTGGCTCCGTGCGTCGCAAAATAAGTGCAACATACTTACAGTATGTGCGTATTCACTAGAACAATCACACGTGTGGCTTTTTATTTCGGTACAGTATGTCAATCAAACGGAAATGATGCCATTTATAAATACAAATGTCGTCCCCCATTCTTGGTAAGGGAGAGGCGCTTTTAAAATACCACGGTGTCAGACGCACGCCAACGAACGTATTTGTCATCCACTCTGGGATTGCGAAGGGGCATTCACTTTCATGTTTCTATCAAAACCGTTAACGCATGCTCGCAAAGCAACAAGCCATATTAAATTTCGATTTAAAGCTTTCGTGACTGCAAGGATTCATCTTCTTTGGTTCTTTCGGTAAAGTCACGTAGAATGAGAATAAAATAATAAATTGATAAAATTAAATAACACAATAATATTCTCACGACGTTTCGGCTACAACACAAGCGGCCTTCATCAGGTGAAGGGGACGAGACTGTCCTCCAGACAGCGCTGTCCTCCAGACAGTCTCGTCCCCTTCACCTGATGAAGGCCGCTTGTGTTGTGGCCGAAACGTCGTGAGAATATTATTGTGTTATTTTATTTTATCAATGTATTATTTTATTCTCATTCTACGTGACTTTACCGAAAGAACCAAAGAAGAAGCCATATTCATTGTTGTTTTGGGGAAGCTATTACAATGCTAACTGCCTGATAGCCTAATTTGTGGAACTTCCAAGGGGTAAACAACGCGTACGTAGCGATGGATCGTTCGTACACGAACAGTGATTGTCACGTTCGGGATATATGCTCATAGAATCACGCATATACGGGTCTATAACATATATATTTTGTATATATTGTGCGTAATTGGTTGCGAACCCTGCAGCAACTCGAGCCACTGCGTGTACCACATTGGGGATGAAAAAAAGGATAAATTCTGGAATTGACTAGTGACCCCCAAATCATAACAATTCATCAAACTTCAAAGAGGGGTTAAGTCGTATATGCCCATTAAATAGGATACAGCCTTTCACCACATCGCGCCAATGCATCACCAATCCGACAACTTGATATGGCTACTTACCACGCCACAGCATAACAACAGCGGAGTGGTGAGCACACTGATCTGTGGACCCGGTGACCTGATTGCTATTAGCAGCCACGGCTAACATCAGTGACGAGTGATATCTGAACCGGTCCTTGGGCCCCTTTCACCAACCCACATCGACTAGCGTGGCGAAGTATGATCAAACAGCCCCAGAAACCAAGAAGTCTTCATCCAGCTGTGGATTTACAATGGATTTGACAATATTATTTTATTTACACTCAACACACGGCAAAAGCCATGCTAAGTGGCCTGCCTGATACATCCAATAACCTGCACCACGCCATGCTACGCACATCTTTAACAACATAATCTAGTACATTATATATTTAAATATATATATATCCCCCCCCACCGAATATAAATAAATATCCCGCTCACAAAACAAACCCCGTGTGTTCTATTGGCAGAGACTTTTATTAGCGGAGACGTTTATTAGCAGACACCCTATCATTGCTGATTTAGGAGTTGTCCCAGCGGCAACTCTTCTGCCGGAAGATACCCGCGTAGAGCCACGATGGCACACGGTGTCTCTGTGGCAGCAGGCGTGGGTTGAGTGAGCGCTAAGATAGTGAGATATGGGCGCACTTGAAAGGGTAGGAGGGCACGACCGTGCCCGTGCGTGCGTGTGTGTTTGTCCTCTCCTCCGTTCCCGAAGCAATTTAGTCTCTCAACGCGAGCCCGTGTTTATTTGCGAAGGGGGGTGAGGGAGGGGCAGGGCGTTTTATTGTCCGGAGCTCATTTCACGTTGGGAGGCACCTGTGTCAGCAGCAACGGGAGAGCCCCGGCGTCTTCATTAAGATGTCAAAAGTCGAAGCAGTTAAAGTTTAAAAGCCCTCTCTGTTTACAGCGCCGGGGGGGTGGGGGGCAGGGGGGGGGTCGAGGGTGGAGTTGGTGGGGGGGGGCGACTTTAAAGAGGGCTCTGCCCGCACGCGGTCTCGCCGGGTTCCCCCGCGCGTCTCCCCCCCCCCCCGCCATAGGGAGAGGGCCCCCACGGTCGCCTTTCACGGCTGGCCGCCCTGGTGTTTGGCGGTGGCTGTTTTTACCGATTGTCAAAAGAAACGGAGGCGCCGTTGCCCACTGATCAGCTGTGAGAGCCAGGGTCGAGGTGGGATGTTGGGCGCTCTGCGTCCTCCTGAGTATGCCACCGAGTCGGCCCGCGGCACGGCAGAGGTCGTGGTCGATTGGTTCCATGTCAGATACCTGTACGTGTGTAGACGTGTATTTCTTTTTTTAACACCAGTTAATTACATTTACCGTCGTTAGGCGTATTCGGTGAATAACGTCTGTCTTGGGATTATTTGTAAAATAATGGTTGTAAGAAGGAAACATTGTATAAGCGAAGCATATATATAGAGACGGATTAAATGGACTGTCAAATAATTTGGAGACTAGGCTAGTGAATACCTCCCAAAAAAATATGAAAGGCCTAATTACAAAATCACTTAAGCAATAAAAGTCATTTCTTAATGTGTTTTTATTCAAGTGATGAACTTAAACGATGTTCCCACTGAAACGAGCGTGGATCCGTGCTGATCCCTGCTATGCCACTGAACCAGTGGTGGAGATTCCACAGTGCTGTAGCAGGGGCCAGACAATCCATATAACAACCATTGTTGACTTTTAGTAATAGTTACTATGTTAGATTTTCCCTAATTAAATTATTCAGAAGTCTGTTTTTGCACGTAAGGCAGATGCAATGAGGTTATTCTCCCACAACAATTATTTATATATGCATGTGTGTGAGCCGTGGTGGAACAGTTTGGGGGAGTGATATCGTAGTGGTTAACACACTGGACTGCAACCCTCCAAACCCGAATTTGATTCTCGCTCATGGCCAATTGTGAATATCTGAACCTGTCCGGAGCCTCTCCTAAGTCGACTCAGCCTTAAATGGGTACTTGTTGAGGAGTGTAAATACCACCACTCGGTAGAAAAATAAGGTCGGGCGTGGTGCTGGCCACCCATCCCCTCGTGTGCTGTGCCGACCTCCATAGGTTGCTACTCGCTAACAGCACTTGCCCCAACTGTCTGTTAAGGCTAGACGGTGGATCTTTGCATTTTGCAGCAGTTATGATTATGAAACTATGAAACCAGCAAATCGAATTCCATTTCCAGCCATCAATAACATCAGTGCTAAGTAGTATTAGAACTTATTATGGGCCTACCTTAGGCGGAATCAGCCTTGAACGAGAACACGTGGGAAACACAGGTGGCTGGATTTGGTGCTGGCCAAGCCAATCAACTTGTGCAACTTTCCGTCCTGAATCTGCTCTCACTTATAGAACTTGCCCCAACAGTCTATCTGGCTATATGGGATTGATATGTGTCTATTAATATGTTTACGTGTATATGTTTATAAGAGTACTCCAATGGACTTCTAAATGACACGCCTCTAAGCAAGAATGTTCCTTCTATGGCCTTCATTCTCCACCCTGTGACGACTAAATGTCCACCTGGCTGGCTGTAATTGCCATAGCTTATTTAGAGGAACTGCATGGAGTAGAATGAATCATGTTGCAAATACGTATCCATATCTTCGTTTGTGGCACAAGCGTCAAACCATTGTTATCTGAATTTGTAATTTTGTTGTTTTCCTTTGCGTTGCAGGGAAGATATTTGTAGGGCGCTGAACAAATGTGACACGTTAGGTGAGTAATTTATTTTCCATTACATATCAACGCACCTACAATTTGTTGAAATATGAACATGTTCTGAATTATATTTTAAGTAAATACCTGTCAATCAAGCTGCCCACATTCCGGGCAAGACATTGCATGTCAGCTGAGCACTTTCCTTAAAAGAAAACAAAGAATTGTACAAATAACATACATTAAATATGATCATTAATTCACCAAACAGACTGCCATTTCCAATTCTCAATTTTGTACAATGAAACTCTATTTCAAGAGGGGGACAACAGAGGCGGCACTTGATTCATCACGATATTTTTCAATGTTTGTAACCGCGATGGTTAATGCCCGTCGCTCATTCAATGAACGCACATCCGCAAATGTGTCTTCGAGGTTGCTATTCTGTGAACTGTGGTCGTGGCGCACGGCTGCAATCCAGCGATGCAGAGCAGGCGGCGGTTGTTGGATCGTTACACAAATGCCGTGAAGCTCCCATCCCGTGGGCTTCGAGATAGTGCCATGCCCCGGCTCGCAAGGGAAATGCAGTGCAACGAAATGTGGACCCCAACTGTCTTCCTTCTGTATGGGATACAGCGTTGTCCCTTGCATGCATTGGTTTTCTCCTGGTGGTCCAGTTTCCTCCCAAATGTCAACACTCAATTGGCCGATAACGCCTCAATATATAGAGAACCGCAGAACTTGGAAGGGTGGTGGTATTTGGTGCCGGCTTATCGCGTGGCTGCCTTTACCACTTTTCTAAATTGTGCATTAAGTGATAATGATTTTGATAATGATAATGATTCTTCTTCTCGTGTGAGGTTATATTAAGTTGAAGAGCAATGTAAGTATTTAGGTCCAGGAATTTTTAGCCGGTTGATGGCGTTTTCACTAGACGAGTGTACTTCAGATAAATTCCTCCGTTGATGGATATCACAGAGCATTGACTACGCATGCGTTCAATTCTTTGAAACATGCAGCCGCAATCACGATTAGGCATGCGATAATGATCATGCATATAATTTCATCATTAATGGGGCTTCACAAGAAGTACATGATCAGGTTTTGTATAGTTTGTATAGTTAGAAAAATTCCACATCCAAATTGTATTCACTCACACGTGAATAAAATGTGCATAGACACATGATGCCTCAACGTCCTATGAGCTGCCGCCGAGAGACAGCTCCTGGCGGTGACCGAAATGAGGGTCGACAATGAGGGTCGACAATGAGGGTCGACAATGAGGGTCGCGCGTCTCGTCGTCGTCTCGCTGCGCTTTTGTCTCGGGAAGCAGAGCGACAGTCGGGCCGGTCGCCTTTGTCGCGGTGACTCAAAGTCGCGAAGCCGTGCTAGGGACCACACAGCGGTAATCGATCGGAGCGAGTGGCCGCGAGCCTCGGCAATCACTCGCGGAAGCTGTCTGCTGGGGTTAGCGGCTGGCCGGCTCGCACGGAACCGTCGGGATTCCTCTCCTCAAGTTTGCCCCCTGGGCGGGAGCCGCAGTGGGACCTGGCTTGGCTAATTTGGGTGGACAACTTGGAAATAGATCTTGCAGGTAGGCGTGGGGGGGATAGCACTTTATCTGATGCGCCGCTCCCCAAAAAATATGCGCTACTCCCTGCTGTCGCTCAACCATTTATTTATCTGTTCGTATATTTGTTATTTTAGGTTTTTTTTTCTCTTTTCTCTCTTTAGTATTCTTTCCAGAATAAATATGGTGCAATTTTAGTTTCGTCTCAACGGGCACTCCCGTCGGTTTTAAAGCAGGGCACCGATTTATTCGTTTCGACAAAAAATTATTTCACCCAACTCATTGAAGTATGACGAATATTCGTTTTGGGCACGAATCGTACAATGATCTATTTTATTTTATATACTACTATCTTGCAGCACTTGGGTTTACGCGGCGCCTGTTTCAGTTCTACTGTACATCGAGACATCTGGCCCTGCCGAGCGTTAATGTGACAAGAGCTGACGTTGGAAAATCCTACTTCCCAGACTAATGCTAGATCCACAAAGCTGGACTCATACATTTGCTTATTGTGTATTTTTGCACGAGATGACAGTCTCGTTCCTTTGAAGTGTTCCACTCTCAAGACCGATTGGAGCTCTGCGGATTCATTCTGATATTAACCGATGCACGTACGATTCATTACTATGTGCCAGAGCTTTGCATTGCACCGTTGATTCTCAATGTTTCATGAGTTAGTATAAAGCAGGCACCACCCCACATGTCTAGACATGAAGCCTTGCCTCGACTGTGTATGTGAAATGTGAGAAGTTTCGGCTTTGTGTCTCGTCGGTTAATCTAAGCTGTTACCTTAAAGCTCTTTAATTAGTGTGTGTTCTGATTTAAAGCTTTCGTGACTGCAGGGATTCATATTCTTGGCGCTTTCGGTAAAGTCACGTAGAAGGGAAACAATAAAATAATAAAAATATAAAACAATAAAAATCTAACGACGTTTCGACTGCAACACAAGCAATCGTCATCAGGTGTGAAAACCACAAGAACATTTCAAATTTTCTTGTTGTGGTTTTCACACCTGATGATGATTCAAATTTTCTTGTTGTGGTTTTCACACCTGATGATGATTCAAATTTTCTTGTTGTGGTTTTCACACTTGATGATGATTGCTTGTGTTGCAGTCGAAAAGTCGTGAGAATTGTATTGTTTTATATTTTTGTTACTTTATTGTTTCCTTTCTACGTGCCTTTACCGAAAGAACCAAGAATATAAAGTGTGTGTTCATCGGTGCATTCATGGAGATGTTAGCATTTGCTCAACAAAATTAATCAATCCATACTGTACTTCCAAATGTCGATCACCGTTTCAGAGGCAAACGAGACGTCAAATTTCGCTTTTCTTTTTTTTCAAGAGAGATCTTGAACTTGTTTTTACTCAAGGTCAAGAGGTCATCAAGCCCATTGCTTGTTGACGCCACCCACCGCACCTCATGATCACTCTCCACCTTCTGCTACAACCCCCTAAGTCGTTGCAAACTCAACACGACCTGCGAGGTCTGCTCTTACAGTCATCCGGAGATCTGGCTTCAGGTCTTCCCATTGGTCGCTGACCTATGGGTGTCACAGCAATGTGCACGTAAGTCATCTGCCCACCTCCATCCATGTGCGTGCTCCAGTGAAACTCATCTTTCTGAACGCTTCCGCAATGCCTTCTACCTGGTAGTTTACCACCGAGTGCCATGCGAAAATTGTTAGTAAGTCCAGAACTTCACTTAACTTTTCATTACGAAAGCCGCGCATTTAGTGGTGCGCACACCCATCAATGTATAACTCACACTTGGGGTTGGTGGGCCACCGAGAGACCGTCATGCGACTCCAAACTTGCAGGGACAAAGAGGTAACGGTTGAACAGCAGCACAGCAAGTAGGCTGCTGGCCTGTTGGTTCACATTTTACATTTGTATTCCACTCCCTTGTTTGTTTGGGTTTTCTCTGGATACCCTGGCTTCTTCCCACGATTGTGAAATAAAATTGCAAAAAAAATAGATTAACCTTAAACATCGCAAACAGGAATCTCCTGCAATGATCTTAAAGCGTATTTGATGCATTCGTAGCATAAATAAAGACGTTACCATCATTATTATTATGCTTACCAAGCTAAGCTGTGGAAATTCAATTGTTTTTGAGGACTAATTTTGGTGTCCGTCTTGGGTAAACAGCATCCCGATGAAGGTTGTAACCCAAACAACCTTGTTGTGGAAGTTATGGCTCGAGAATCAAAGAGTTGAGCGTGGTGTTGTGAAACGGGTGGCCCAAAATTGAACAGGAAGGAGGCAAGTTGAGCCAGAGAACCTGCCCTTGATCAGACATCCCAATAATAATCATAAAAATAAGATATTAATAATATTTATTTCGCATATACACGCGCATAGCCGTGTTAAGATGTACCTAAAGGATGTATTACTCTTGTGAAATGTGTTGTGTTGCACACACGTCCCCTGGATTACAAAGCACCCAATTGAAGTCTACGTTTTTGTTTTAATATCTGAAATGTCAAAGCGGAGATTGACCCGAGATTAAAACGAAAGTGTCCCCGTAGAGTGATCACATTTAAACAAGGCAGAGATATTTATGATGTCCATATGTACATTTCTGGCACTCTGGGAATTGTTAGATCGCTTTTGGACAACACCAAGACTGTGAAAGATTCGTGGCCTGTGCCTAAAGTTCTGCCATACATATTTCATAGGAACTATTATATAAAAACACGGCGTTTGGGGGATGATTAGTGTAACTTTGTCCCGTGAAAATAATCTCCAAGAATTCGGAATATTCATGTTGGATCAATGTTCTCAACTCCTGATACTTTGCTGAATTCAACACTTTTATATTTTATGTACATGCGGTATCTTAGAAAAACAAGATAACATAATGTTTTCAAAGCGTGAGTTATACGGTTACTTTAAAGATACCTCCTTATATGCATATGCTTTAAATGATACACATATGTTCTGTATCATCTTTGTGCACTTGAGCTGATAGATGCAAATATAACTGAAGAGAAATTATTTCGTAATAAAAAGCTTTTTTCAGGAACAGTGGTGTTTAAGTTGTATTTTTTTTTATGCAGTGCCAACGGTCCAACACTTATTGATTTGTTGGCGAAGTCTTATATCCTATTTAACGCTTATGAACAGACTGCCACACATACACAAGACAAACATCCCCCGTGTAGCCGTAAGATACGTTTTAGGACAAGTGCTGTCAGTAAGCATCTATGAACGCCGGTGGGTGACCGGCACCACGCCCGGCCGCCTTTGTCTCCCCGGTGGCGATGTGTACACACCGCACCAGGTAGTCATTTGAGGCTGAGTCGACCTAGAGGAGGCCCAGCAGTGGTTCAGATAATTTTCGTCACTGGTGTTGACCACACACACACACACACAAAGAGGCCAACCACTGTTGCCCCCACGAATGCTCACGTTGCCGTATTGAGCCAGCTTCTCATTTTAGGCTAAGTCAACCTAGGAGAAGATCTAGTGAGGTTCAAATGCCGATTGTCTCAGGTATCATACCCAGGTTGATAGAGTAAAGGGGTGTGGTTTACAGCTGCTGGAAAAAAATAACATTGTCTAGACTCAAGAAAGTCTGCTCGTTCACGGACATTAATCTTGTTTTATTTTCGATATTAAACAGACCACGCAACTGTTTATTGTACGTCTTCATCACCTATGATCTATTGAGACGTCTCATATATATTTTTCATCATAGGTTCCTAGTGTGTTTGTGTGTAGTGTACGATGTGTTTGCTTCTGAAACATAGCGCAATTCTGATTTCTCCTTGCACTGTCCGAATAGCGCTAAATGTGCTGAATTATGATCCGTCGTTTATTATCATGATGTGGCAGTGTCTGGCTTATAACCCTTCAGTGTTTGGTGCTTTGTCGAGTGTATAATATATCGGTGTGAGATGCACTGAGCTTAATCTTATCATGTGCACGGTATCTGTGTATGGTGTACGGTCTATTATTGTAGAGTATGCAATGCATTAGTGTATGATGTGTATATTGTATGATGTGTATAGTGTATGATGTTTATAGTTTATGATGTGTATGGTGATATGTCATTGTATGATTTATAATATGATCACTGTATATGTCACCATCCAGTATATAATGTCACTGTGTAGTTGTATAATGTAGCAGTATATGTTATGGATTTTCCTATGTAACCATATATGATATGATGCATCTGGTGTATGTTGTCTTGGGGCTTATAGTGTATAATCCGTCAGTGTATGAGCATATAGCGTATCATGCTTCCATAAATTATCTATCAGTGCATGATACGTCAGCTTATAGCACGTCTGTGCACCGCGTATGACGTTTCTGTGTCGCGCGTACCACGTGTGTCTGCCGGCGTGTAGTGTGTATGTGTAACGTGCCGTTGGCACGGAGTGTTGCGATGTGCTGGTTATGAGACGCGCCGGGAGCGTGCCGCGTGCCCGGCGTTCACGCGTCGTTCCCCTGTGGGATGATCGCCTCCGCAGGACTGGCGGAGATCGGCACGGTGTGCGATCAGTACCGCAGCTGCTCCATCAGCGAGGACAGCGGCCTCAGCACGGCTTTCACCATCTCCCACGAGCTGGGCCACGTGTAAGTGAACCTACACTTTACGATTTCTAACCCCCGCTATTTCACCATGGACATCAGTTTATCACGAAACTCCCATCGATCGTTGAACCCCGTGGGATGCTGCCCGTGGTGCAATGGTCGGCACGCTGGACTTGCAATCCGGCGGTCACCGCTGTTCGCACCGCGAACAGCGGTGCGAACAGCGGTGCAAGGTTCTTAAATCTCCCCGCCTCTGCCCACCCAGCGGTATAAAAGGGTTCACCACAATTAGTTGGTAGTGTGTGGTGGAGTAAAGTGTGAGTACTCCCGCCTCTTCCGAGACGTCTCGCCAGCGTGGAAGAGTAGGCCAAATACCATCGAGAGGGGCTCCTAGAGCTCCCTCTAGCGGAGGCTCTTCCGCCAGCAGTGGCGTGAGCGAGCGATTGCGTGGACGCGCCTTTACCGTCACTCTAAACTCCCGTTGAGCCTCATTCTCATTGGTCATGAACTCTGAATGCCATTGACCGTGAGCACGATGGACTCTGACCTCTAATGGCCCTGGACAATATTGACCCTGAACACCATTGATTCATAATTCACGTCACCCTGGACATCATTGACCCTGAATTCACAATTGATCCCGCACTTTGAGGTAGGGCAGGGTAAGTGGTGGGGGGGTGGGGAGGGCATTAAAGCCAACCTTACAAATTCTCAGGACATTAGTCGATGCACATGGAAACAAAAACCAAAAAAAACTGTGCTAATATTGTGATTGCTGTTTCCATAGCGGAGGATAGCCCGGGGTGCCGTACATACTGATCCTCAGAATGGGTGTGCCTGAGTGAATTCCACGGCGTGATAAATTCAGCCACGGTTTTACAACTGCGGTGCGAGCGGTAGATCTTGGCAATGCGTAACAAAACCCCAACTCTGCACTAAAGATTGTTCCCCGATCGCTTGAGGATTTTTTTTTTAACCAGAAGCCGCACTGCAGTGGAAATTACCGATGTGCCCCGTCACGTTGGGTTTGTATGCAGAGCAAATTGTACAGGTCTGGCTGACCTCCGTTACCATGTGTGCCGCATTACCATTGGACCCTACAGTGGGGTTATGTGACCACAAAATACCCTCCATAACTCAGCCCGATGTTTCCAAATTCATGGAAACAACACAAAAGTGGGATAACAAAAAAAAGTCGTAGTGATTTGTAGCAGAGGAGTTCAATCGGAGTTGTTGCATGTGTTAGCTGGATCGTTTTCAGATTTTATATCTTGAGTTTATAATGGATCCATGTTTCTAGAATGGCATTAAAAAGTCACAAAATGTTGTTCTACTGCTTGTATTGTAAATTATATATATATATTTTAATATATGTTTTATTTATCAGGTAAAGCCCACTGAGCTATATTAGCTCTTTTTTTAAGGTGACCTGGCCACACATGATAACTCAACGAAGCAACTTATACCATCAGATGTGGGAATGTATAATAGCAGCCAATTAATCGAAATGAGGCGGAGTTAAATTTCTAAATGTGGAGGGCAAAACTAGAGGAACCCCGAGATATATCCACTCCGACCACCAAGGGGAGAGAGAACATGCAATCTCGAAATATACAACAGGAATCGCCAGGATCTGGGATAGAACCCACGAACTCCTGCATACCCGGCAAGGGAGACAACATCTTGCCACCACCCAGATGGTGGAGTCGTGTGATGGGCTGAACAGATACCAGAAGTTCTGGTAAAACAGCGGAAGCTGGACATAAGGACGCCTCATAAGAGCACAGTTCTGATACAAGTAACACATGCTTACATCGCACTGATGGAAAGAAGGCGGAGGGCAACTTCTGATACAAGCACAGGACTTCACATATAAGGACAGCTGGACTTGCTGTCAAAGGGGAGTGCTTTTAATGCCCAGCTGCGACATCTCTTATCCAGCAATAAACGGTACTACAAAGATTGCTGAATATTTATTGTATGACAGATTATACCAAATTTATTCTCAAGAGATTGGATATGTGAAATGGACAAAAAACTAAATGAACGATTTAGTTTTTTTGTCCATTCATTGGTTGCTGGCCTGAGACCACAAATAGCATCTGGTGGTATAATTATCAGGCTTGGACTGTCCAGATACAAACCCAGTACCACAGTGGGCTCATCCTGGTTCTCTAATTTAGACTTTACAAGGCCCCCTTAGCCAGGGGCACAGTCACCACGTTTAGGAAGTCGGGAGTGCCCTAATGGTGAATGGTGCCAGGTGTTTTTTTTTTTGGTGAGATTGCAGATTAGGATCTGCGGAAAATCTCCACTCACTGCCGCCATACAGCGTCAGTGTCCTGCAACCCACGTGTCGTCTACCGCCTCCTTGGATTGGTTGAAAAACAAATTAGCATTCCACTATGACGCGTTTCAAAACTGTTGCTTTCCGCCGCTTCCCGCCATACAAAAGAGAGACTTCTCAACTTCTGCCGCGGGGTTCCACTGTACTGCTAATTACATTACATCTACACAAATAATGGCTGCCGACACAATACTTAACCCTGCTGTCCGTGTGCTGCTGCGCATAATAAAGGTTCCATCGTCAGCACGATCAGCATTTCTGACACCTTGTTGGATGGAGAAACATGTGGAGTCATAAAAAACGTGATATTGTATCCCACTTTTTTGAGGGAGTCTGTTAGCCGTATATTTTTTTTTGTTTTAACCAAGCGAGAACTCGAGACCAGGGATGAGTCCCATCTTCACAAGTGACCTGGGTCGCCAAAATGACAAAGCAGCGATGTCAAAAAGGAAACAACCAGTATAATTAAGCAAATATAAATCAAAGCAAAAAGTTACATATATTTTTTTGTGGGTGTTTCGTTCGCCATCGTGAAACGTACTAGGGGTGTCCAGAAACCCATGGCACTACTTATAGTGGCTGCACCCCCTGCCCCACAGCCACTTGACCGCCTCACATTGCACTGCACGGAGTGTTCAGAGTGTGCTATGCAAATTTTCAATTTTGATCGAAAACGCATTTCTTTAGAACTGCTTCTTATGTTCAGATCGTTGCCCTTCTCCCGCACCTCCGAATGGCACGGTTGCCTATGTACGGTACGAAAGAAGTTCAACGTGCATACATGCGGGAAAGAGAGGGGTGTGGGAACAGCCAAGAGGAGACAGCCCTCCTGGGTGATAACACCGTGGCCTTCAAGTATAAAATATATATGGCCTGTTCTTCATAGCGCCTCACGTGCTAGCAGAGCACATATGCAGCTGAGGTAGCACAAAGGCACCTTCTCTGCGTTATGAAGAGGGACAATGCCTGAAACCTTATCTATTATTTATTTCCTTTTAAGGCCACAGCGTTATCGACATTTTTTTACTTTACCATTTGTGCCTGTGCACAGCTACCAACACAGCAGCGTTACTAAGTCATTTGGCAAACGAGTCTAATGGGTGATGGGAGAGGTGAAAACCAGGAGACACGTGGCAGCACTGGATGATATCTCGCACTGGATCAATGGCTATTGCAACAGCGGAGCCTGTTGCACCGCAGTGCACTCGCAAAGGGCTGCTGCTTCTGCTGATGACAATGGTGATAAGGAAGCTTGAGGAGGCATGTAAAATAGCGTTCTTCCAGGTACCTTATGGAGATGAAAGGATACCAATAATGCCTTGTCAAGAAGAGCTTCAAAGGAATGTGGAAAAAAATAACTTCTGGGAAAAAAGCCGCACAGGCATAAGTGGGGGTGCAATTCTCAGTAAATGGGGATGTTTAGGATATCGGGCACGTGTAATGAATAACTCTTGCCCAACAATTGCTTTGTTTCCAATTATAACGGGTTTTTTTTTTTTACAATAACAATGTCCGAACGAGCTGAAAAATACGCACGTGGTTTTTTGCGTCCAATCTGATGATAATTGTTTTGCCTTTACTCTTCCTCCCTCTACCGCCTGTGATAGAACATCCTAAATTCACTCAAAACAAACATACACATGTAGTTCGGCAGGGTTGAACCTGCTTAGCAATTTTATTGGTGATCATATAAGTTAACATATATCCATTGACTTCCATGCTTATCACCAGTCTTGTCCATCTGCTGACCATTCCTTCTACCGATGCGTCCTTCCCAAGCACACTTACGTACCTTCTTAGCAGCCAATGGCGCGGTGAGTCTGTGTCCTAAATGACGCTAATTGGACCGTTCCAGCTAGAATTACGAGATTATATTCGTACATATAATAGGCTCACATTTTCCGGCACTGCCTCGTGATCAGGGCACCACAGTGTGAAGTGTGACCATCAACTCAATCTCTATGCCACCTCTCCCTGTTTCCTCAAAAAGGCCTGAATTCTAAATTGTTAGACAACTGTTTATTGTTTTGTTACAAGGCAAACATGGTGATGTAATGACAAACCCAGTGTTTTTTGTAAGCCTTGGCTTTTATAATTTTCTAGAAACAAATATAATTTAAAAACTATAATTACAATATTTCCAAGTGCAAACTGAATCTTATTCATTCCTATATTTATTTATTCTCACGGTGTTAACCAATGTTAACCAATGTTAATCAATGCTCTTGCCGCTGATAGCGAGAGGGAGCTCCAGAGAGCCCCTGGGGAGGGTATTTGGCACTGGCCAGACAGCCTCGGGAGTGGTGGGAGAACCACCACACTTGACCCCACCACACTTGACCCCACCACACTTTACCCCACCACACTTTACCCCACCACACTTTACCCCACCACACTTGACCCCACCACACTTGACCCCACCACACTTTACCCCACCACACTTGACCCCACCACACTTGACCCCACCACACTTGACCCCACCACACTTTACCCCACCACACTTGACCCCACCACACTTTACCCCACCACACTTGACCCCACCACACTTTACCCCACCACACTTGACCCCACCACACTTTACCCCACCACACTTGACCCCACCACACTTTACCCCACCACACTTGACCCCACCACACTTTACCCCACCACACTTTACCCCACCACACTTTACCCCACCACACTTTACCCCACCACA